GTGCTGCCTGAGTGTGGCGAATGTTTCTCAGAGGTCTGCCAGATGGTCCGCTTGAATTTTTGACTTTACAATCATATCATCAATATACGCCTCAACATTTCTTCCAATTTGTTCAAAAAACACAGTGTTGATCATTCTTTGGAAGGTTGCCGGAGCGTTCTTCAGACCAAACGGCATGACCGTGTAACAATAGAGCCCTTGTTCTGTGACAAAGACAGTTTTCTTTTGATCTTTTTTCCATAGAGGGATTTGGTGAAAGCCTGAGTAGGCATCCATGAAACTCATCAAGGCATGGCCGGCTGTTGAGTCGACCAAGCTGTCAATCTTTGGCAAAGGGTAGCTGTCTTTTGGACATGCCTTGTTCAAATCAGTGTAGTCCACACACATGCGCCATGAACCATTCGACTTCTTGACTAGTACCACATTTGCAACCCATTCTGGGTAAAAACACTGCTGAATGTATCCCGCATCAAGTAACTTCTTTACCTCGGCGGCGACCGCCTGATTTCTTTCTTCACCATGATGCCTTTTCTTCTGTCGTACCAGTTTCTTTTTTGGGTCGACATCTAGCTTGTGTATTGCCAGGTCTGGACTAATACCTGGCATCTCATGCACCTCAAATGCAAAAATATCTTGGAACTCTTTCAACAGTTGGCGAAGGTCATTGCCAAGTTCAGTCAGAGCAGTTGTCCCCACCTTAACAGTTCGGTCTGGACGACTGTCATTGAGGGCGACATCTACGTGCTCCCCAGCTTGCTGAGGGCGGAATTCATCCGGCCGCTCCTTAGCTAGTGATTGCTATTCTTATGTTTTTTCTGGACCTCCGTCAAATGCAAAAATATTTCTCTTCCTGCCGCCTGCCTCTTGAGCGGACGCTTCTTCTATGGCTTTGCCAGTTGGGCCGTCTGAAGTTACCGTGTTTTGATGTCTGTGAGGTAACATTCTCTGGCCATTCTCTGGTCCCCCCTTATGGAGCCGACTGTTTTGTCGTCCTTCTCAAACTTGAGCAACATAAGGGATGGAATGATAACTGCTTTGGAGTCATTAAGGGTGGGGCGCCCAAGGATCATGTTGTAGGCAGTAAGTTCTTCCACAACCAAGAAACGAATGACCATGTGGCGACCCTCGCCTCTCTCACCCAGACGGACGGGCAAGTCAACTTGACCAATCGGATGGACGACTCCCCCTCCGAATCCTACGAGAGGATGGGAGACAGGCTGTATGCTCTCAGGCCTGTACTTGAGCTTGGTCAAGCACTTATGGCTGATGAGGTCCGACGAACTCCCTGTATCAATAAGTATTCTGCCGACTCTTTGGTTGGCCACTTTACACTCGATGACAATTGGGTCGTGATGCGGCCGTCGGACACCACCAGAATCTTTCACAGAAATAATGACCTCAGGAAACGAGGTACCAGAGGTCTCACCCCGATTAACAGAGTTAAAATCCAACTGGCTGATGCTATCCTTGTTTCCCCGAACAGTCGGGCCTCCCCCTGCATAGTCGCCTGCTATTGTATAGATGGCAGCTTCATCAGTGTCAGAGGTGTCGGCCGGCTTCTGTCTTTTTTGCCTGGCCGACTGATTTTTTTGGGGGGCTGTTTTCCTTTAGGTTTCTTAACATAAGAGTCCAGATCACCTTTTTCAGCCAACTGATCCAGCAGGCGCTTGAGGCTAATGCATTCGTTGGTCTCATGCCCAACGTCATCATGAAAATGGCAGTGCTTGCCTTGGTTGCGCTTGCTAGGATCACCCTTCATAGGTGTCGGCTTCTCAAGTGAGATTCGGCCCTTAACTTCTTTGAAAATGGTATGATTATCTTTGTTGAACTCATACTTGGGGGAGTATGGAGTGAACTCTTTCCTCTTTTTACTGGACGGCTGACTAGTGGAGTCGGCCATCCAAACATCTTTGCTCTTCTTCTCTTCCTTAGGGGCCGCCTTCTGTGAGCGACCCTCCTTTTTCTCGGACCTTTTCTGGTCCCCTTGCTTTCCCATGTGACAGAGGTCGACTGCATGTATGTAGGTCTCAGCCTCCATCATTGCCTCTTGGAGAGTAGCCACTCTTTTTCTGACTAAATCGAACTTGAAGTTCGACCCGTCCTTAAATCCCTTGAAGAAATCGGTATAGGCTACTTCATCCGGCAAGTTGGGTATTTGTATCCTCATCAGATTGGATCTCTTTATCTAGGAGCGTAACCCCTCCTTTTCTCCCTGCTGGACGGCTCCTAGATCAAGAGTCGTCTTCCTGGCAGGTATATTCATGGAAAAGTTTGATGCAAACAAATAGGCCAATGTTCTGAAGTTGTTTACACAGCCGGCCGGTAGATTGCCGAACCACTGTTGGGCGACTCCCTTCAGAGTGGAAGGAAAACACCAACACCATGTGGCATCGTCCAATCCTTGAAGGTATATTAGATTGGTGAAGGCCATAAGGTGATCCTCTAGGTTAGCAGTGCCATCTTAGGCGCCTATTAACACATTTTTCACTTTAGCCGGCTGGGCGGCTTGCAAAAATTTCCTTTGAGAAGGCGGTTGGCTGTTCTCCTAGTTGGAGCACTCGTAACTGCCAGTCCAAAGGCTGGACATTCTTAGCTATCTGACCTCCAAAAGGAGGAGGTGGCAAAAAGTAGTGAGTTTGCGGCACATATGGCGGCTGAGTGGCACATGGTGCCGACTATTGTTGGTGAGAGCTAGAACCGGAGTGTGTACTGCCTGTCCGGATCTCATAGTTGACCTTGAATGATTCATAGAAGTGTTTTGTATACTGTCAAGAAAATCAGAAGTGGAGGCCGACTCAAACTACTGTTGGCTCCTTTTCTGCTGAATCAGCAGCCGGGCGTCTGAGTAGGATTTCTTTGAGCCGTCTTGTTGGACCAGGCGGATTGGTTTCCTTCCCAATGAGGCAGGGATACGATTTTTGGACAAATTGACTAGAGGTACCCGCCTCTCCTCTTGGCGAGGGTGGGGGGTTGCCTCACGATCCTTCAATGACTTCTTTCCTGAATAGGAAGGCTTTTTTCTCGACCGCCCTTTTTGGGGGACAATCGTCTTTTTCTTGATGAGATCTTTAATCTCACCCTTGAAACTTCTCATGATGGTCATAAGATCATTCCTCGAGACAGGAGTTGTCCAGTCGACCGCTTGGTGAGAGTCGGCCGAAGGTCCGACTGTTTGTCCTAGACCAGCCGGTCTTGCCGTTCCTGCCTTTCACGAGGAGTAGTGCGTCGAGCTCTCAAGGAATCGTTTGGGGCCGTGCGAGTCTTAACTTCAGGCTAAGTGTCCTGATCAAAAGAAACGTGAGGCTCGTCTTCTTGGTAGTCGTCCTCTAGACGCTTGTCACTATTAGTCGGTACAGATTGTGATGCCATCCTAAAGGTACTCTCCCCACAGACGGCGCCAAAATGTTCCAGGGTTTTCTGTGTCCCTTGGGAGAGTTACAACTTTGAGACTGGAACCACGCGCCTGTACCTGCAAGATAACGAAGACTCCTTGGGTATGGAGCTCCGCCTCCAACGATCAAGTTAGTAGATGAAGGAGTTGTAAAGCGGAATGTAAATAGGTGCCGGATGCTGGGACGGGTCTAGCAGGCGGTACCGAGTGATGTGTGATTGTCTTGGGATTTGTGTAATCCGAGTGTTTCTTGTGAACAGTCTCTGTCATAAATGAGCATTTATGACCGTATTTATAGCCTAGGGAAGCGTGCCAGGTTCTAGGGTTTTTGGCCAACCCTACGGCTAACTGGGCTTTCTTGGGATTTAGGCCCAATCTATTACCTGTTTAGGCAAGGCTGAGAGGGCCACATGGAGTAGCATAGGAGGTCCATGGCGGACCAATGGAAGCGTGCCACGTGGCAGGTCCTGATAAGCCCAACTGGGTGACACTTGTCAGGCCTTGATTGGTCCACGTGGCGAGAGGTAAATAAAGGAAAATCCCCTAATCAGTTTGAGCCCCGAGCATGTGGCGGCATACAACACAAGGCAAGATGGATATAGGGGAAGTGGCGATGGAGTAGCTTGGAGGCAACCACCACCAGGATTTGCACACCAACCTCAACAATGGAGTCAACAAGCTCAACAATCATACAACTCCGACCCTCAATACCAAAACCCACCTCCATTTCAAAACCAAAACCCAAGAGGAAACTACCCAAGAAACAACCAACACAATAATTAAAACCAATACAACAATCAAAATCAAGTGTCTCAAAGGAGCCAAGAGAAAGCATCTCAACCCGATTCTACACAAACCCAAATTCTTCAACAACTTCAAGCCATGAATCAATAAATGCAAGAGGTCAAGGCTCATAACAAGATGGTTAATTCACAATTAGCTCAATTGGCCGAGAGAGTCCCTTTCAATTCACCTTCTACTCTACCTGGATAATCACAAACTAACCCTTCCAACATCATAAAACCCGACTCTTGTAAGGCGATCACATTAAGATCGGGTACATCCGATGAAGGTCCTAAGGAGGGGGCTAGTGAGGAAAAGAAGGAAGGAGAAGAGAGTGTGGGTGAAGACAAGGAAGTTGAGGAAGAGAAATTTGTTGAGAAAGAAAGAAGTATGGAGAAGAAGAAGCTTAAAGATGAGAATACAACTTCAACTCTTAGTGGGGCAAGGAATCTTGATGAGCCGGTTCCATTTCTCGGTCAACCTGCAGAGAGGAAGTTGAATGATAAGTTTGCAAAGTTCCTTAGTGTGATGAAGAATTTGCACATCAACCTCCCTTTCATCAAAGTTGTCACACAAATGCCTTCATACTCCAAGTTCCTCAAGGATATTCTCACCAATAAGAGGAAGCTCAATGATGAGCTCATCACTCTTCCCCATCAAGTGAGTGCACTTGTCCAACATAAGATGCCCAAGAAGCAAAAAGATTCGGGAAGTTTCACTTTGCCGGTAAAGATTGGGAACATGGAATCTAGGGGTGCCCTAGCTGATCTTGGAGCAAGTGGTAGTTTGATTCCCCTATCTATTGCACAAAAAGCTTAACATTGAAATGATCCCTATAAGAAATACCATCCAATTGGCCAACCGTTCGGTGAAATTACCTTGTAGTAAGCTTGAAGATGTTCCTATTCAAGTTGGGCATATTTATGTGCCTTGTGATATTGTAGTGATGGATATAGAAGAAGATGTTGACACTCCTTTGATTTTGGGCCGTGAAGCTCTTAAGACTTTGGGGGCGGTGATCAATTGCAAGAACAACACCATTACATGTGAGGGTGCCGATGAAAAGATTGTTTTTGAGTTCTCTAAGTTACTCAAGACACCCATACTTGAAAAATGCTATAGGGTTGATGTTGTGAATCAAGAGTTAGATCGCTTGGGAAGGGTTATGATGAAGCCTCAAGATCCAATGGCTGAAGCTCTTACATGCAAGGAAGAATATCACTCTCAAGAAGAAAAAGAGTGTCATGGCCATGGAAGATACTCAAATGGAAGAAGACCATGAACAACAAGAAGATAAAAAAGAGCTTGAACTAAAGGAGGAGAAAATGGAGAAGAGTTCCAAGCCTCCTCCCAAGGTAGAACTCAAACCCCTTCCCCCCTCTTTGAAATATGTTTATCTTGGAAATGAAGAGGAATACCCTATTATGGTCACTGCTACCCTTGATGGTCTTGATTTGGAAAAATTGCTTGTTGTGTTGAGAAAATATAGAAATGTGATAGGGTATAACATTGACGATATAAAGGGTATTAGCCCCTCTTTGTGCTTGCATCGTATTCATCTTGAGGATGATCAATCCACCTCAATTGAACCTCAAAGGAGGTTGGACCCCAACCTCCAAGAGGTTATCAAGAAGGAAATCTTGAATTGCGTGAAGCGGGCATAAATTTATGCTATCTCCGATAGCAAATGGGTTAGCCCGGTTCACGTGGTTCCAAAGAAAGGTGGAATGACCATCGTCAAGGGAGAATGAGGAGAGGAAATCTCCACACGGACGGTGACCGGGTGGAGAATGTGTATTGATTATAGGAGGTTAAACAAAAATACAAAGAAAGACCATTTTCCTCTCCCCTTCATCGACCAAATGTTGGAGAGACTTTCTGACCATGCTTTCTTTTATTTCTTGGATGGGTATTCTAGATTTTTCCAAATCCCTATCCACACAAATGACCAAGAGAAAACTACTTTCACATGTCCATATGGAACATTTGCATACCGAAGAATGCCATTCGGATTATGCAATGCTCCTTCAACATTCCAACGATGCATGACTTCCATTTTCTCTGAGATGCTTGAAAATGAAGCGAAGTTTTTATGGACAATTTTAGTGTTGGTGGCTCGTCTTTTGACACTTGTCTTTATAATCTTGAAAAAGTTTTGAAAAGGTGTTAAGAGACGAGTTTGGTTTTAAATTGGGAGAAATGTTACTTTATGGTTGAGGAGGGTATTGTCCTAGGCCATAAAGTGTCAAAGAAGGGCATTGAGGTTGATTTGGCTAAAGTTTCGATGATTGCAAAGTTGCCCCCTCCTACTTCCATTACGGGAGTGAGAGCTTTTCTTGGGCATGCCGGTTTTTACCGGAGGTTTATCAAAAAAATTTCATCAATCGCCAAACTTTTGACCGAATTACTCAAGAAATATGTTGTGTTTAGCTTTGACGAGGCTTGTCTTGAGGCATTTCAAAAACTCAAGGAAGCTCTCATTTCCTCTCCCGTTGTGCAAGCTCCGGATTGAAGCTTGCCTTTTGAGCTAATGTGCGATGTGAGTGATTTTGCAGTAGGTGCGGTGCTTGGGAAAAAGAAAGAAGGAAAATCTCATGTCATCTACTATGCAAGTAGAACTCTTCATGAAGCTCAAAAGAATTACACAACGATGGAGAAGGAAATGCTTGCGGTTATGTTTGCCTTGGACAAGTTTAGGTCCTATCTTATTTTCTCCAAGGTGATTGTGTACACGGATCCCATAACGGTTCGCTATCGGAAGAAAAGCCATGCCTCATCCGTTGGGTTCTTTCGCTTCAAGATTTTGATATGGAGATGAGAGATAAAAAGGGAGCGGAGAACTATGTAGCGGATCATTTGTCTAGGCTTTCGTTTAAGAACAAGGAGGATGTACTAATCAATGAAGAATTAGGATTTGAAACTCTCATGGCTATAGCTTCAACATCTAGCCCACGGTGTGCGGATATAGCCAACTATCTTGCTTGCGGAGTCATTCCCCTGGAGTTCTCTTCTCAACAAAAGAAGAGGTTTTTCAAGGAAGTGAGAGGTACTTTTGGAATGGCCCCTATTTTTTTTAAATAGTGTGGAGATGGCCTTTTCCGGAAATGTGTTCCGGACCATGAAATCGAAGGAGTTCTTGAGCATTGCCACTCGTTGCCATGTGGAGGACATGGGGGAGTGGATATGACGGTAGCAAAGATTTCCCAATCTCTCCTATGGTGGCCAACGATGCATAAGGATGCTCAAAAGTTTGTTTCAAGATGCGACAAGTGCCAAAGAAGTGGTGGCATAACCAAAAGAGATGAAATGCCTCAACAAAACATTTTGGAAGTTGAGCCTTTTGATGTTTGGGGTGTCGACTTTATGGGGTCTTTTATTTCTTTATGTGGGAATTTATATATCATGGTAGCGGTCGACTATGTGACTAAGTGAATTGAAGCTATACCCTCCCCTACCAATGATCATAAGGTTGTGCTTAAACTTCTCAAGAAAATCATATTTCCGCAGTTTGGGGTTCCTAGGGTGCTAATTAGCGATGGAGGTTCCCATTTCTCCAAGAAGAAATTCAAGGATCTTCTCAAGAGGTATGGAGTTCATCACAAATTTGGTCTACCTTATTATCCTCAAACTCAAGGGCAAGTGGAGGTGTCAAATAGAGAGATCAAGAATCTACTTGAAAGGATGGTGAACAAATCTAGGAAGGATTGGTCCCTCAAGCTTGACGACACACTTTGGGCCTTGCGGGCGGCGTACAAGACTCCAATTGGTATAACCCCCCTATCGGTTGGTCTATGGGAAGTCTTTTCATTTGCCGGTTGAGTTGGAGTATAACGCTTGGTGGGCCATCAAGGAGCTTAAGATGGATATGTTGTTCGCCGGTGAGAAGAGGTTGCTCAAGCTCAACAAAATTGAGGAGCTTAGATATGATGACTACGAGAACTCAAGGCTATACAAGGAGGAAACCAAGAAATGGCACGACCAACATATAAGGAACAAGAGCTTAAAGGTTGGAGACAAGGTGTTGTTATTCAACTCTAGGCTTCGTTTGTTTCCCGGAAAGCTCAAATCCAAATGGTCAGGGCCTTTCGTGATTTCAAGGACTACTCCTTATGGGTCTTTTGATTTGGAGGCGGGTGACAACAAGTTGATGGTTAATGGTCATCGTTTTAAGCACTACTTTTGTAAGGATGAAGTTGGTTTGATTGAATTCATGAGGCTTGATCCGATGTATCTTAAGCCACCCTCTGGATGATAATTTCTCATGGTCAAGCTAGTGACCTCGTAAAGAAGCGCTTCTCGGGAGGCAACCCGAGTTCTCAACTCTTTTGTTTCTTTATTTCCTTTATTTGGTCGATTTTGGTTGATCTCTTTTAGGGTTTTTATCTTATGGTCTTTGGTTTTTCTTTTGTAGGTACTTGAACTTTTGGGCATTTCTTTTGTGGACTAAGATTTGAGGGTGTTCTCACCTCAAGGGAGTCCTTTTCAAGAGCCAAGATGGAGTTATGAAAGAAGAAAGGGTCGAATTTTAGGTCTCAAGAGCTTAAAGTGCATGCGCACCAAGGGATAGCCCTCTCCAGGGACCCGTGGGCGCGGCTTCATGAGGAGATGGCGCGGACAGAAAAAGGAAGCCTCCCCTTAACTTTCTGGAGATGCCTTGTCGCGCCCCAGGAGAGGGTGCGGATCTACGTGTCGCGGGTGCGGCGATTCGGGTCTGCGAAAATCCCAGTTTTCTTTTCATCAGTTTCGCCCACTCATCTCCCCTAATTTCGACATCTCTCTTCTTCACTCTCTCTAAAATTTCATCCCCCCTCAAACCCTAAACTCCCAACCTCACAAAATCATCAAAAATTCCTCACAAAATCATCAAAACTCATCAAATTCCCTCACTTTCTCTCGAGTTTGCTCATCAAAATCCGAAAATTTACCATTGAAGACTTGCTTTAGGCTGTTCTTCTCGTGGTTCTCTTGGGTTTCTCCATTGCATAATTCTTGAAGGTAGCTTGGATTTCTTCTTCAAAAGGCTAGTTGGAGTGGATTATGATCACTCATTGTTGGTATATTTCACTCTTTCTCTAGTTTTAATTGAAACTTGAAGCGATTTCTTTGGTGAGAAAAATTGTTGTTCTTGTGAATTCATTTGGGGATTTTTGATGTATGCATTCTAATTCATGTTGAAATATCTTCTTAATATTGGTTGTTTGTTGATTATTTGTTGATCTTGTTGATTGTTGGCGAGGAATATTGATTGTTTGGCGTTGTTGAGTGAATTTCAAAGTGTGGGAATTGTGAAGTCTTGTTGAATTGGTGGGATTGTTCTTGTGATCTAAGTTGTGATTTGATTGAATTTGGGAGATTATTGAAATGGTGTTTGGTTCAAAAAAGAGAAAGAGTGGGAAGGAACCCCCAAGGTTCTACCTCCCAAAACCCCCAACCCAATGAACAACAACCACCACCACCTTTGCCACATCTCAAATTCCACAACAAAAACCACAAAACCATCTATGACAACTTGCAAAATCACAAGTTTAGAGCCACCAAAAATTTCCACCAACCTTCTATAACCAAGATTGGCATCGATGACGATTGTTGGTTCCTATTCAACAATCTTAGGTTAGGCTCTTTTGTGGCAAGTGCTTACCGAACATACAAAGAGCCTACTCTTGAGTTTCTAGCCTCTTTCGAATGCCACGCCGCAGAAAGAACCTCACCATCTCCTTCCAACTCTTCAATAAAAAAGAAACAACCCTGACGCTGACATGTTCTTCCCTGAGCACGAGGTTCTTCGTGATTATAACCCCCTTGAGTGGTGGAAATGCACCTCGAGAATGGATGCCTTCAATGCCAAATATTCATTGGCCAGTCAAATCATGCACCCTGCTGTCAGACTTCTTCATAGAATACTTGGGCACATGGTTTTCAACAAACAAGACTTGGGAAAGATTACCGCGGAAGATATCCAAATTTTTTGGCTAGCTACAAAGCCGAAATTGGGGCGTGGATAGAATACTTGGGCACATGGTTTTCAACAAACAAGACTTGGGAAAGATTACCGCAGAAGATATTCGAATTTTGTGGCTAGCTACAAAGCCGAAATTGGGGCGTGGAGTGAATTTTGGTTTTCTTTTCACCAAGTGCATTGAAGGAATTGTCTCGGGGACAAAGAAGGGGGAAATTCATTGTGGGGGGATGGTCACAAGGTTGGCTGAAAAGTTAGGTCATATGGATAAGGTGCGTTCTTGCACCCCCGTTGGGAGAAGTGATGGAAGTGACATCTTCTTAGAC